GACCCCCCCTCTAAATCGGGAGGGGGGGGAGAGGAGGGGTTGGGGACAGGGCTGGCACCTGTGGGGACACTCTGGGTGTGTCCTGGTCACCCGTGGCACCCATGGGTGAACTCCCCTCCCTCCCCCACTGGGGACGGTGTGTCGCTGTCCCCAAGTGACCCCGTGTCCCTTCAGGGTGTCCCTGTCCCCAAGCGACCCCTTGTCCTGTGTGTCCCTGTCCTCAAGTGACCTCATGTCCCTTCAGAGTGTCCCTGTCCCCAAGTGACCCCAGGTCCTGCCTATCCCTGTCCCCAGGTGACCCTGTATCCCTTCAGGGTCTCCCTGTCCCCAAGTGACCCCGTGTCCCCTCTGTGTGTCCCTGTCCCCAGGTGACCCTGTGTCCTGTGTGTCCCTGTCCTCAAGTGACCTCATGTCCTCTCTGTGTGTCCTTGTCCCCAAGTGACCCCATGTCCTGTATGTCCCTGTCCCCAAGTGACCCTGTGTCCCTTCAGGGTCTCCCTGTCCCCAAGTGACCCCATGTCCTGTCTGTCCCTGTCCCCAGGTGACCTTGTGCCCCTCTGTATGTCCCTGTCCTCAGATGACCCCGTGTCCTCTGTGTCCCTGTCCTCAAGTGACCCCACGTCCTTTGTGTCCCTGTCCCCAGATGACCCTATGTCCTGTCTGTCCCTGTCCCCAAGTGACCCTGTGTCCCTTCAGGGTCTCCCTGTCCTCAAGTGACCCCATGTCCTGTCTGTCCCTGTCCCCAGGTGACCCCGTGTCCTCTCTCTGTGTCCCTGTCCCTTCTGTGTGTCTCTGTCCCTAAGTGACCCCACGTCCCCTCTGTGTGTCCCTGTCCCCAGGTGACCCTATGTCCCCAGGTGCCCCCTACACTGCAGTGTCCCCAGTGTCAGTGCGTGAGCCCCAGGAGCCATCCCCCTGTCCCCCTGTCACCCACACCTTGGTGGCACCTGGCAACCTTCCCAAGGCCCTGGCTGTCCCTGTGTCCCTTGGGGTGATCAGTGTCCCCATGGTGCCCCTTGTTCCGGTGGTGCCTGCTGTCCCCACTGTCCCCACGGTGCCTGCTGTCCCCTTGTCCCTGCTGCTCCCATGGTCTTTGCTGTCCCCTTGTCCCCATGATCCCTGCTGTCCCCTTGTCCCCACTGTCCCCATGGTCCCTGCTGTCCTCTTGTCCCTGTGCTCCCTGCTGTCCCCTTGTCCCCACTGTCCCCTTGTCCCCACTGTCCCCATGCTCCCTGCTGTCCCCATGCTCCCTGCTGTCCCCTTGTCCCCATGATGCCCACTGACCCGACTGTCCCCATGGTCCTTGGTGTCCCCTTGTCCCCGTGCTCCCTGCTGTTCTCTTGTCTTCACTGTCCCCGTGCTCCCTGCTGTCCCCACTGTCCCCATGCTCCCTGCTGTCCCCACGGTCCCCGCTGTCCCTGGCTGTCCCCTCTGTCCCTGGCTGTCCCCATGCTCCCTGCTGTCCCCTTGTCCCCACGGTCCCTGCTGTCCCCTTGTCCCCACTATCCCTGCTGTCCCCATGCTCCCTGCTGTCCCCTTGTCCCCACGGTCCCTCCTGTCCCCACAGTCCCTGCTGTCCCCTTGTCCCCACTATCCCTGCTGTCCCCACGGTCCCTGCTGTCCGTGCTGTCCCCCTGTCCCCGGACGGGGGGTGACGAGGTGCCGCGCAGCGTGGACCGCAAGGGCCAGTATCACTACCTGGTGAAGTGGCGGGACCTGCCCTACGACCAGGCCACCTGGGAGGAGGACGAGATGCCCATCCCCGACTATGACCTGCACAAGATGGCCTACTGGAGGCACCGGTGGGGCTGGGGGCTCTGCTGGGGCCTGGGGGGGACATGGGGGGGTATGGGGCACCGGTGGGGCTGGGGGCTCTGCTGGGGCCTGGGGGGGGATATGGGGGGGCATGGGAGGACATAGGGACATGGGAGGGACATGGGGACACATGGGGGGACATGGGGACATGGCTACTGGAGGCACCAGTGGGGACTGGGGACATGGGGAGTAGGAGGCAGGTGGGGACATGAAGGGCCACAGGGACATGAGTGGGATGTGGGAGGGACCAGCCCCCCAATGTCCTCATGTCCGTGTGTCCCCTGTCCCCTCCCTGTCCCCCCCATGCCCCTCCTGTCCTGTCCCCCTGGTGTCCCCGCCTTGGTGTCCCCACTGTCCCCAGGGAGGTGTTCATGGGGGAGGACCCTGCCCAGCCCCGGCGCTACAAGAAGAAGAAGAAGGAGACCCCAGGGGAGGGACCCCCCCCCTCCCCC